CAGGATCTTGCTCTTGTTCAGGCTGGTCTTGAGCTCCTGATCTCAAGCAATCCTCCTGCCTTGGCCTACCAGAGTGCTAGGATTATAGGCGTGAGCCACTGCGCCTGGCCTTCTGTTTGATTTCTTAAATAATTTCTAGTCTTTCTTATATTTTTCATTTTTTATTGTTTTGTTGATTTCATTTTGTTGTTTCTTTTTATTTTCGTGAGTTTTGGTGAGCTTACTTAAAAAAACCATTGTTTTGAATTCCTCATTAGGCAGTTCAGTTTGCTCCATTTCTTTGGGGTTAGCTACTGGGAAATTATTGTGTTTTTTGGTGGTGTTATAGCTACTTTGTTTTTCATGATTCTTTTTGCCTTACATTAAAGTTTGTGCATTTGAGTAGTAGGGCCTTATTCCAGTCTTTGCAGACTGTCTTTGTCTGGGAAAGCCCTTCTTTACCAGTCAGCCCATGCAGAAATTCTGGGCAGGTTGTTTGGAGTGGTTAGTGGGTGGGCTTGCTTCTGAAATCCTCAGGCAGGCTATCTTGGTGCCTGGGTCATCAGGTGCATTATCCTGGTCTCTGGGTTCAATGGGTTGGGCCTTGAGCCTGGATCCACTGTGGTGGACCTATTGATTGGGTCTGTCTTCAGGAGCTGACCAAGTGCTGAGATGGGCCTGGTGCCCAGGTCCACTGGGATGCACCTGAAACCTGAGTTCATGGGGTAGGCCTGATGCTTAGCTGGTTTTGAGACCTGAGTCTACCAGGGTGGACCTAGGTCCTGGGTCTACAGGGGTGGATGTGGAATATCTGTCCATGTGGGTTATACTGGTAATGGGTATTGTTTTGATGGTCCTGGACCCTGGGTCTGGTGGAGTGAGGAGTTGCAATGGCTGGCCTGGAGGGTAGAGTCCTGGGGAACAGCATGACAGTGGACACACCTGGAATGTGTTCTGTGGTGCTGACCTGGTGCCTGTGGCCAGGGGTGCTAACCTGTTGCTGTGTTGGACTGAAACCTGGAATGGGATGGGCCTACCTGGTACTGGCTTGGTGTGAAAGCTGAGGTGGGCCTACAGCCTAGGGCAACAGGGGCTGGCCTGGTGCTGGGTGTGCCTGGAGCTTGTATCTGCAGGTGCTGTCCTGGAGGCTGGGTCTGTCTGTGGTGCATCTTTAGTGCATCACAACCTTCAAATTCTTCTAACAGAGGGCTGCCGTTGCCTTTTGCTTAGGATGGATGTTGGTGTAGCAGAAGTTATTTCAGTATTTTTGCTATTCCCTTGGCCATTCCCACACATCTGTGCTATGCTCTCATCCCTTCCCAGGAGTACATTACTGGTGCTTATTGTTTGATGCTAGGCATGTGACAGGAGCAAAGGTGTTCTCTATTATGTTTTTTTCACCCTCCGTCTTTGACAGGCCCTGTCCCCCTGAGCCTTGAAAATGGGGCTTGCTCAGATTTTTCAGTCTCTCCTTCCCATGGAAGCAAATCTTCCTGATTGGTTTGGGGCAGGAGTTTCCTCCTCTGTCCTAGTGATAAAAACCCTCTGATTTGTATTTGGTAGGATTTTGGGCTCAAGGTTCTTTCTTGCCCCTTTTCCATGCGTAGAGGTTTTTTTTCTTTAACCTTTTCGCTAATTGCAATGGATTTTTGTCTCTTCCCTGGGGATGACAGAATTTACTTTCTTTTTCAGTTTTTTAAAGCTTTTGTTTTTTTAGGAGAAAAGTTCTGGGGAATTGTGCCTGTGTCCCAGAAGCCACTAGTCACCTTTTTTATACCTGCACATGTGCTCTTCCAGAATAAAAGGGGAGACTTTCTTGCTTTCATGCCTTGCTCACAGTCTTCCTTATGAGCACCCAGTGGAGGCCTATGGAAAAGTCCTTTTGGGTGAATATAAACTTCCTTTGAGTCTGAGTCCCTTAAGCTATTTCAGACTGTCGTGCTAACCCACTCTTGGCCTTTAACAATTTATTTAAATTTTGACTGTAGCCACTTCATTCTCCTGTATTCTGCCAAAGGTGAAATTGTTAGTGTGTTCTGTTTTTCCTTGGAAAGGCTTGTCACTCTTCGGAATTCAGATTGTTTGCCTTATAACCTCAAGTCTCTGATGAGTTCCAGAAAAGCTAAGATTTTTTAGATTATTCAGTCTTTTGTCATTGTTAGGATGGGAGGTATATTTGTGGTTTTCTAAACATAAACTAAACTAATTATAGTTTTAAAAATTTTCCTTAAAAATAATAGAAAAGTTTTATCAATATCTATCTATCTATCTATCTATCTATCTATCTATCTATCTAAGACTAGTCAAGCACAGTAGTGAGAAGGTGGGAATGAATACAACAAAGAGTTTGATCTGTAATTGACTGTGAACCATCCACTGAGATAACTTCAGACCACCCATCAGCATTTATTTTTAATTAGAACAAATAATATACTTTTTCTAGGTGTCTTTTTTTCCTTATTCTGCTGTTTTATTTTTAAAATAAAACTTGGCTTTTTATTTGCACAACCTCATTTGCTAGGCTGCTAATATTTCACAGTGTTTTTACAGCCAGCTAATATCCAGACTGTTGAACAGATTTAAATAATTAGTGGGAGCACTCATCCAGTGTTTTACCCTCTGTTTGGATTCTTCATATCAATCCAACTGGGACGATGTCTCAGTGATTTGAAGTTATAGGCTTTGGCTTCACTGTGTAAGTCAAATTAGCTGTCTATATTTCTAAAGCTGAATTGTAGAAAAATAACATTGTGAATATTTGACAGCATATGATTGAAAATATACGGCAAATGGTAGATAGAAATTTAGAATTATAATTCAAAGAAATAGCTCCATAAACATATATTGCATTAATTGGTTCTTAAATTGATGTGTATATCAGAAGGTAGAACTATAATAGTTTTAACACTTTTATGATGTAATGTATCATGCAAGATGTTAATCTGTCATCAGAATATTAAATTTTACTTGTTTTATTCTCATTCTAAGTATTTTTTGATTATAAAATTGTGCCTGTAGACTATGATAATTTTTTTTTTAAATAACTTTAGGAAACCAATTTTTTCTTATCTGTTTTCTCTGCAGAAAACTGCATCAGCAGTTTGAAATGTATAAGGAGCAGGTAAAGAAGATGGGAGAAGAATCACAACAACAACAAGAACAGAAGGGTGATGCCCCAACCTGTGGTATATGCCACAAAACAAAGTTTGCTGATGGATGTGGCCATAACTGTTCATATTGCCAAACAAAGTTCTGTGCTCGTTGTGGAGGTCGAGTGTCATTACGCTCAAACAAGGTACAAAAATGAAAATTACACATGACAATTCTCTTATAGTTAAACTTATTGTGAATAAAATAAAGATAACTGAAATCGATATTCAGAATAACCAAAAACCTAAACCTTCTATATTGTCTTTATTTTAGATAAAAGTTGTTTTACATTTTTTTACTGAATTAAAAAGATATTTGTCTCATTATTTCATGTCAGTTAGCTTATGATTTTGTTTAGAATCATAGGATCTTGGACTTCCAATTGGTGTCACTCTTTTATTTTATAATTACAAAAATCTCAGATCCAGAAAGACTAAAGTTTATTCTTAAAACCACACAACTGATTAATGTCAGAGTTTTGATACAGCTTTCCCTATACCACACATACTTTTACAAACTTGTGTAGATCTGCTCTTCCTTTGGCCCATTTCCTGTCCTTTTGAAAGAGGCCCTTTCCAGGTTTAAGTTTCTGTTTCATAATTTTATTATTTTTGAAGCTACATTCCCCTTTGTTTTTAATATTAATGGAATAAGCATTTGATTATGGAATTTAAAGAGGAAATGTTAAGGATTTGTTTCATATTTATATGAGATTACTGTAGTTTCTCCATCCACTTTAGAGAATGTATTAATGCTACTCAGAGAATGCTTCGTTGAAATTAGCAAAAGCAATATTTAAAAATGTTTGTCTCAATAAGTTCTTTCAAATTTGCATGTATCTACTCATTGGTATTTTATCACCTAGTTATTTTCTTAGGTAGTTTTTAAATGGAAGCTGATATCTTTACATACATTACTTAAACATAATTGTGGGAATCAGTTCCCTGGCATGATTTCATTTTCTCATTTTCCTCTTTTCTTACTGTTTTGTTTTGCCTAGAACTAATCACTTATTTTTTCTTATCTTTCCCCCTGGCTTACCTGATTATATATATTTTTTTCTTCTTGAGTAAGTGCATTGGCTAGAAACTGCAGTATAATTTTGAATAAAAATGGTGAAAGCATTTCTCTAATGATTAGAGATGTTGAGCATTTTTTTATATGTTTGCTGGCCATTATTCTGTCTTCTTTTGAAAAGCTTCTGTTCATTTCCCTTGCCC